TTGTTACTACTAGTAAGGCACTTGTTACTAGTAGCGATGCACTTGTTTCTACTAGCTTCTTGTTACTACTAGTAAGGCCATTGTTACTAGTAGCGATGCACTTGTTTCTACTAGCTTCTTGCTACCATTGAAACCTGTACCAGAAACACCCGTGTAGTGGAATGTGCTTTTCGGTGGCAACGGGCAGTTGAAGCCTTGAATGGCACTGCGATTGTGAAGCCACAAGTGTTCCCACCCTGGCATCCGTGGCCTAGGGGATGGAGCATCACCATTCTGTGGCTCCTAGCACGCAGCGATGACAAAAAGAACACAAGCCTGTCAAGTGATGCACATCCATCCGCAATGCAACTTCAACATTAAAAAACACAAAAACAAACCAATAGCCTTGACATACTCAGGCTTGGCTGCAGTGCCTCCTCTGCCTCTAGCCTGGAGAGGGCATCTGAAAATGGATAATAAAACATATGGCTCAATTCCAGGCCGAGATCTTTGAATTGCAATGTGCTAACAGTGCTAACTTTGAAACAACAATTGCAGAAAGCATCTTGTTGCTAATAGTCCGGTTTGAACATATTTGTATTTAGGCTCTGACCTGGCTCATCTCTGTCCTTCCCCCCCCCCACAGGGGGGAGTTCGAAACTGTTCCCTAAGCACTCAGGCCAGCTTTTGATTCCGGTTACAGCATTCTCCGCAAGTCGCTTGAGCCGAAAAAAGTTGATTTTTTCGTACACCAAGCTACGAACGTAACAAAGGGCGTCGCTATTCCTGGGAGCAAGGACGCTACTAGGGGCGCTCCTGGCATTGCTACTAGTAACAAGAAACCATTAGTAGCTAGAAGCTACTAGGTGGAGGCCATCGCTATTAGGTTGGAGGCCATCGCTTCTAGTAACAAGAAGGGCTACTAATACACCAGGTTCTAAACGAATACTTTTGCAAACAGCAGGTTTTTGCTCGTTGGGACGCTATTGAATCCCAGTTGCTGTCTGCCGTCACTCACATGATCACCCTTTTAGGGTTGTGAGTGTTCACTAGTAGCAAAAAAGGCACCTAGTGGCGATGCACTTGTTCCTAGTAGCTTATTGTTACTAGTAGTAAGGCACTTGTTACTAGAAGCGATGCACTTGTTCCTGGTAGCAAAATAGCTGCTAGTAGCGATGCACCTTGCTACTAGCAGTGTCTTGTTACTCATGAGTGTTTTGATCGTCTCTGAAGACCGACAAACTCCGCATAGTCACCCCGCTCGAACCTTTTTACGCCTGCTTGTTTCTTCCATCTGTCTCACTTGTGTTGAAGAAGGCCACCTACGAAATACGTGGCCAGGCTTTTTTTGTGGGAAGTGACAAGTAACAACCATTGGCCTTCGAATTCATGGGAGTGCCCGCGAAGGCAAGCCTCCGCAAGGATGCAAGAACGGATGTCATGAGTTATGCACATGGGCATGCATGTCTGTCTGTCTGTCTGTTTGTCTGTACGCGTACGTACATATGTGTGTTTGCACCTTTCTACATATCATCATATATCATCTATGTTTCTTTGTCATCTTGCGCCGTTTATCCACCAGGCCCTGGTCTTCTGACCAGCCATGTTGGCCTATGGAGACACCCAAGAATGGCCGGTCTACACCCCACGGGATCCACGGGCCCAACGGGGTCAAGGAACTTCGCACGCTTTAGCTCTATGGTTCTCCTCTGTCTATGGAAGTTCGCTACTAGTAACAAGTGCATCGCTAGTAGTAACAAGTGCCTTACTAGTAGTAACAAGAAGCTATTAGTAACAAAGGGCATCGCTACTAGGAGCGTTCGGACGCTACTAGGGGCTCCTGGCCATACTAGGAACAAGGGCATCGCTACGAACGTAGCTTCTTGCTACGTCAGAAATTATCTCAAACATTGTGTCCCACAGTTCGCACACTTTCGCTCCTTGGTTCTGTGCGACACCTGCGATCGAGGAAAGGGGGTTAATCATCGGCCGCCGATGAAAGGCTTAAACTTGACTCTTGTTACTACTAGCTTGCACAAGAGTAGCTTGATACTAGTAGCGATGCACTTGTTACTAGTAGCTTATTGTTTCTATTCTTAAACTTGACTCCATCCCACAAGATTGGCTTGAAGCTAGTTTTCTCCATTCGCCTCTGCATCATTGAGGGCTAGCCTTTTCTTACAAGGCAATGTCAGCAGCTGTTGCTTTTGGTCTGCGCAAGTTCTCCAAGATGGGGCAGGTCTCTCAATGTAGCTAGGCTTGTTGGTGCTCGCGCAGAAAGTTCTTTAGTGCGTGTGCCGCATGTATGTGTATGCAAGCATTCTACTTTATGTTCGTTGCTTGGTCTCTCCCGCTTCTTTGGCCTTTTCTTCCCTCTCTCTCCCTCTCTCTCTCTCTCTCTCGCTCTGACTCTCCCTCTCTCTCTCTCTATGCTTCGCTCCTGTTTTTATACAAGCAAAGCATCTTCCAGCGCTAGCTCTCTGTGTGCTGTGAAAAACAACTTCAACCAACCAAACAACTGACTCTTGACGTCTACTTTGCGTCTCTTGGTTCCAAACTCTGGAAGAAGGATCTTTCCGTTCAGCTCAATCTGGCAAGGGTAACAACAAAGGAACCTAATAGCGATGGCATTTGTTCGTAGAAGCTTCTTGCTCCTAGTAGCGATGCCAGGAGCCCCGTTCGTAGCGTCCTTGTTCCTAATAGCGATGGCCTCCATCCTAATAGCGAATGCTTGGATCTCTGGAACCCTAAACAGTCAACGTCTGCAGTCAACAGTCGCTCAAGCAATGAGCTAACACCAAAGTTGAAGCAATTCAAACAGCTCTGCCAGGAGCGCCTTGGCATAACCACTCTCACCCCAATCCTGTCACAAGCTCGAATTCCAGCAAACGTACCCCAAATACGTTCTAGTACCTAGGAAGTCTAACTTAGGCACGACATCCACTTGTCCTTCTCAGTGTCAGCTTCCGATCGTGATAGCTTCTGTTATGCGACTCTTGATCATCCCTATTTTGAAGCCACGCGCCAATTGGGATACCCTTCCCGACTTCATACGATGCCGGAACGGTCTCCTTTCCGAATGAGTTCTCAATGATCCAATACTCCTTCTGAAAGCTCTTCACACTGTCCACACCCCAGCCTCATGAGAAAAATGCAAGCCAGAAGTTGTTCCAACAGAATACTTCACATGGCACAATTGTAGGCTTCCGGCCAATAATCTTCACTGCGTGAAGTTGCTGTTCTCGCTCCGATTCCTCCGTTTGAGCTTCTCCAACCTACTAGCGATGGCCTCCCACCTACTAGAAAACAAAGCCAATCTGAAGCCTACCAAACCAGAGCAAGGTCTACAAAACAAACTGCCAATCTGATTGTTTTCAGTTCCAAGGTGCGACCAATGGAGTCGCTGTGCGAGTCTCCTGACACATGGGACGCGTTGTCCGGGTCACTTCCCTTTTGAAGGAAAGCTGCGACTGCTTCGTGAAGGACACCCAGCCCCACCTGATAGATTCCAGACCTGTACGAGGTGACCAAAGCTGTGATTCCTGCTATTGAAAGCTATCATCCATAACATGCAAGAAACATCTGCTCAATCAAAAACCTAAGGGTTCAGAAGATGGGATGGCACATGTAGTACATGAGAACTGGTGCTTAGAGGTCTTGGAAAGCAGTCTTTCCACACTTTGGTGAGTGGAAGCGTGAATGTGTGGCGCATGCTCTGTGTGTTTAAGAGCGATGCGAAACAACGGAACACACGACAATAAAGAAGACAGGTAAACAGGATTGAGCAGACCTCAATCCCAAGCATCACGGATTCCCGCCTGTAGATCAAGAAGTCATTCCAAAGCACAATGGGGGCCACCACAGGGCCGTTGATGAATATCTAGGAGTGGCCACACAGTGCCCATGGTCAAACCGTCAAAGCAACACTTTCTCGCTCTTGTGCCATGGACAGAATTAAATAGTTGAACATTCAAAAGAACTATTTCACACCCGCTGCGTCTTTGGGAGGCCCTAGCGCAAAATTCATGCTTCCCACAAGTAGCTAACAAGAACCTGGGAAACATCATCCACTTTGTAGGTCAAGAAGTACCTGCTTACAGGTTCCACCCGTGGTTTGGTTTGCATCTTTCGCCAGAATTGCTCTAAGATTGCTTCTGGGTAGCTGTAAGCAACGGTCCGAATTTGAGGGAATGATGGTAAATGATAGCAGCTCTCCTATCAAGAGGTTCTTGGATTGAACAAATCCAGATGATCTTCAAGTGGCTGCCCTTCTTCCACCGCCTCTCAAACAAAAGCTGCTAGGTGGAGGCCATTGCTGTTAGGTTGGAGGCCATCGCTACTAGGAACAAAAAGCTACTAGTAAAGTACGCAAACGATTTCTTCGGTTCATTTCCGAAAGCGGGGCCTCTCGACGGATCTGCTCTGCAGTGCTGAGACGACACGCGGAGCTGAGCCGCTTGGGCTCCTTGAAGCCAAGCCATGTCTCAAAGGCAAACACTTTTTTTCGTTAGATTGCCTAATAGATTGCGTACACTATACTAGATTTTATTCCCCAAGCAGTATACTGTTAGGGGTTCTCAATGCTTTAAAGAATGGTCGCCTTGGTGCTGGATGGTCTGGTCGGGTTCCCGGCCGGCTTGTCTCCCACTTCCTTCATTTGTCTCCCAGTGCTTTTCATTTGTCTCCCAGGCTTCCTTTCATTTGTCTCCCACTTCTTTTCACTTGTCTCCCAGTTCTTTTCATTTGTCTCCCAGGCTGGGTGCTTGTGGTCGGGTTCCCGGCTGGCTTGTCTCCCACTTCCTTTCATTTGTCTCCCACTTCTTTTCATTTGTCTCCCAGTTCTTTTCATTTGTCTCCCAGGCTGAATGGTTGTGGTGGGGTTTTCGGCTGGCTTGTCTCCCACTTCCTTGCATTTGTCTCCCACTTCTTTTCATTTGTCTCCCGCTTCTTTTCACTTGTTTGTCTCCCAGGCTGGGTGCTTGTGGTGGGGTTTTCGGCTGGCTTG